GGGGGGGGGGGGGGGGGGGGGGGGTGTCATATGGGTGGATTGATTAGGGGAGATGTCTGACGACTTCAAAAATCATTGCTACAGCTGCGGCAGTAACGAATTCCAGAAATGAAATGACCATTGCGCAGCACTTATCTCTTGTCAGGTGATTTGGCAAATTTATTTTTCCCCATAACTCCCAAACACACCATTTTACCCTCCTCGGTAATGTGTGTATGCATACCGAATGAGCAAAGCAGACCAAGCCAGGTCACGTGTGCACGCTCTGGGTACTGCATGAGGCATGGCAGCTGAGGTCAAGTGCCTTTTAACAGGCACAAGTGAGGGAAGTCTGACTACATTTCCTGAAGTTATTGCTTTTATAAAACATGTCCCACTTCCATAACCATCAGCAATTACCCGACTTAGACATTTACACCCTGCCCCTCCACTGGTGCCTCTGGGAGCGCCTTTCGTGAGTTCTGGGTTCATTTGTTCCTCCCACCTCACCTCTGCCCAACCCCAGCCTCATGGTGAGCATGTATTGCTGTCACATCAAACTTCAACATATAACTTAATGCATGGTGGGCCACGATGCACCTCACTAACTTATGGAGAAGATTCCAAAAGGTACCGGGAGGCAAAGGGGGTGGGCTGTAGGCTAGATAATAAACCTCTTAAGACTGAAGTACAGGGCCGGCCCGGTGGCGCACTGCTGCAGTGCGCCGCTTGGGAGTGCAGTGGCGCTCCCGCCGAGGGTTCGGATCCCACATACAGACCGGCCGCTCACTGGCTGAGCGAGGCACCGAGGATTGCGATCCTGTTGCCGGTCCCGGTCCGGTGTGGGCGCGACACTGAGGGTTGCGATCTGTTGCCGGTCACGAAAAAAGACAAAAAGGAAAAGAAAAAAAAAAAGACTGAAGTACATAAATCTCCACCACCAAATAATTTTGGCATAAAACGACAAATCAAATGGCAGACTAAATGGATTATGTGAGTACCTTGTACTGTAATTCAATAATACATAACTTCTAACCTATGTCAACTTTCTTCTTTCCACTTTTAATTCTGCCATTTTCTCTTAAGATTTAGGTTTTAACAAAGACAACAGGGCTATTGTTTGCCAAATCCCAGCTATGAATTTATAGCATAGAGTCAAAGCTACAGCAAAAAACCTATCAATCTGAAATAATTTTAGAAAATAGTTTAGTGCATTTTTGTTATAAAATTCATTTACAGGTTATTTAAATGTACTTATCAAATTTGCTCCTGATAATTCAGAAAACACATAACCAAACTGTGCACAATAAATCAAAGGCAAATTATATACAAAGAAGCAAAACAAGTTTTTAAGTAGAATATATTCATGTTGAAACAACTAACATTGAAAGAAGACAGGGCACATTCTTTTAACGCCATGGCAAGGACTAAGCAGAATCATACTTTACACCTTGCAAAAAAATTCACCACCATTCAACAACACTGTGATAGCCACATCAAGAAAGGCCACAGTATACATATGAACTGCTTATTGCAAATAATTTTAACCACTGGAAAAAAAGTTTCAAATGTAATGTTAGATACAACTGTATTCTGCTGGGAGAGGCTGCCATAGGACACAGGCTTGTTCATTAAAAAGGATGACACAGCTTTTTAATGATTCTTTCACAATCAGACTTGGCGAGTGATGAACCAACAAAAGAACAAGACATGAGAACAGGCATCAAATGTAACTGGAAATAATGTTGTTCAGTGTGTGGCTGCAAAGTATGTGTTTTTGGAAAAACTTATTTCTTAATCCATGTGCTAATATTAACATGAGCAGAGTGGGAGACTGTTTTTGACCTGCCTCCTTTAGAAACTTAGTGAATTTTTAGACTCCCTATGTGGTTACCACTACAAGTCTCTGCTAAATTGATCACTTTAGCAAGACAACAGGAGATTTCTTATCAAAGGCACCTGGAGGAAGCTTATAGAGCCCTTGGCCCAGATAAGAGTGGGGGCTCAGTCCCCCTGACCCCATCCTGCACTTTTTTACATTGCACGGCCAAGGACAAACTCTCTCTACCCACAAACAGGAAGAGGCTAACTCTGTGGGGACAAAGTGCTCTAAGAAAGCACCTGCTTCCCAGGTTTCAGAACTGTTCAGCTGACATCAGTCAGATGTCTGGACACCAGCAGGAGAGACACAGGTAAAAAGAAAACGTTTAAACTTTTAGCAGCCGAAAGTTTTTATTTAATTATTTATTTTTAAAGATGACCGGTAAGGGGGATCTTAACCCTTGACTTGGTGTTGTCAGCACCACACTCTCCCAAGTGAGCCAACCGGCCATCCCCATATAGGGATCCGAACCCACGGCCTTGGTGTTATCAGCACCACACTCTCCCGAGTGAGCCACGGGTCGGCCCTGCAAAAGTTGTTTTTTAAAAGCTCTTTATAACCTGCTTCAGGAGAATTTTTAACACAAAACTCTTTCTGCTTAAGAAGCAGATGACAAAGAAAATTTCAAATAGTGCACATTAATCTGCAGGGATTTGTTTTCATGCCCCAAATTAGCTAATGGGCTGCGCAGCATTCACTACAAGCCACTAGACTAGTTACTACAACTGTCAGTTGTACATTCACACATTCAGGACACTCCGAACTAACTTTGTGTGAATGTTTGGAAAACTGAACAAAGTTGAGCAGCCCCGCCTGTGTCCTGTGCCTCTTCAGTCTCCACTCACCAAGGCCACCTTCCTTTCACAAAAGCATGATCACCTCTAATAGTAACTGAAAACGCCCACCAGATATTCTACAACAGCAGTGTATTTCCATCAGATGGTTTCGGAAGATCACACGAAACCCATCAACTCTCTTCCTATTTTTCTGAAAGCCTCTTTGCTACCCTTCTTTTTGAAAGGGGGTTTCTTTTGTGCCTACATGTAATACTCTATTTTGGCCTGTCAAGTGGTTCCCTAGTTTCCTGGTGATCAGAATCCCTCGGGCAGTGTTTAACATACAGCCTCCCAGGGCCGGCCCGTGGCTCACTCGGTAGAGTGCGGTGCTGATAACACCAAGGCCACGGGTTCGGATCCTATATAGGGATGGCCGGTTTGCTCACTGGCTGAGCGTGGTGCTGACAACACCAAGCCAAGGGTTGAGATCCCCTTACCGGTCATCTTTAAAAAAAAAAAAAACATACAGCCTCCCAGGCTCTCCCAAAAACTAGTTAGATTTTCCTGGCAATCAGCAAGCCTTAAAAAGCAACCCAAGGCAATTCTTCCATATCCAACCCAGAACTAATCTAGCATTTGGCAACCACATCTCTGTAACTCATCACTTATAAGAAGCTCACAATATAATGGGGACATCTGAATGACAGTTCCAGAATTATTCTTTCATTTCATATTCTTCTATTTCAAGAAGAAAAAGAACTTTAGCCAGAGAACTATATGCATACTGAAATAGGTAAATTAACTCATCACAGAGACTCAATTACCCTGTGCCATGGTGCCTCGTCAAAAGCCGCACATCAGCAGAACTTCCCCAAATCTGTCCTGGGAGACTCCAGCTGTTTAAAATAGAACTAGAGACGTGTGATCCAGTGGCACTAACCCGGCTACCCCTAGTTGCCCAGGCTGTAAAGAGACCTGTCTTAACCCCAACAATCGCTGAAAGGACCTGCCCTCCTCCCTTTTTTTTTTTTTAAATATAAAGTTTGTTCTGTTGAAAAATGATTAACATTTTAAGCAGGAGAAAGAAAAGCATTCTAGGAGATTAAATTTTAAAAGGATTTTGTTATTTGCTATACAAATGTACATTTCAACTTTTACAACATTCGCTCCGGTCTGACTCCTTTTCTGTAGAATGAGAGATGAACACATTTGGAGTCTCCAGCTTCAAAGACATTACTACCGATACATAAATGCCTGCTGAGAGCTTGTACAACTGATCAGAAAGGACTGAGATGACCAAGAGGCTAAGTGTCCGGATGCATTTTCCATGTTTTCCAACAGCACACAAACTCCTTTAAGGAAAGGGTAATCCTATCTGGATGGTCCTGTTGGCGGGTCATCTTAACTTTACAATAACGCTTGTGGCTGACAGTCCACCCCATCCGGCTGTATTATAAAAGCTTTCTTTTCTTGAAACTGCTGTCCTCCTCTTCCCATCTCCTCTTGTCCCAGCTAGAGTTCCTCACAGAGCCACACTTCTCCTGCTCCCCTTCACTGAAAGCCCTGGTCTCTCTTCTGTGACTGAGCCCCCCTTCCGGGTCATCACACTTCCTCTCCCTCATGGAAGTATCAGCACCAGCAGCTGGAGGTTCAGACTGCACATAAGGTGTGTGGTTGCTCAGAGTGGCTACTGTAGCAGTGGACTGCTGCACAACACTACACAGATCCTGGTGAGTTACAGGAAAGCCTGGCTCTCCTAAGGGAGATGTTGCGCCAGGATGCTGGGGGCTCAAGGGCTGTGGATCCCTTAGGAATTTTCCTTTAGCTTCAGTGCCCATCCTCCTAAGCAGTCGTGGGTCCCGAATTTGGTCCTGAACAGGTGTCCTTTCAGGGTCCTTCGAAGTAACAGTATCTTCCTTGAAATCAGAGGGTGTGTGGTACGGAGAAGAAACAAAAGATGTCTTGGCAAATCCACTGTCCAGCTTGTTGCTGGGCAAACCACCCTGGGGTCTGGACACCTCAGGGGCTACAGCAGGGGGATGAGTCAGACTTCTCTGTAGCACAGGCTTGAGTTTCAGAATCTTCATTGCATCATGTCTATAGTTTTTGTCACAGGTCTTAATAATGGCACCACGTTTCTGAGCATCCTGAATCAGCTGATTCCAATGCTGATTTTCCTTAAAACAAACAGGAGGGAGAAACAATTACATACCAAACAAACACTTACATGCTTGGGAAGCTTGGAGTTCCAGCTTTCATTTCTGAACAAATACTATGTATATCTTTTATGAAGATTCTCAAGAATCCATTACTAGTCAGACAAGGTTGAAAGGAAAAAATAGGTTCGAATACAGAATACAGCCACTTAAAAAGAGCAGCAGTCACAACCTGTAAGAAAGAACTTTGACCATTTTTATCATTGTTACTCATACCTCATGGTAATAAGCTATCATGCAGATCTGCACCAGCTGCCAGAAGCTTCATGTTAACTATATAAATTTCAATTAATTGGGGACTGGTTGGTTAGCTCACTTGGGAGACTGTGGTGCTAATAACATCAACGTACCAGCCAGTCGTTTAAAAAGAAAAAGAAATTTCAATTAATTAAAATTTAAAAATTCAGTCTCTCAGTTGCTGCATTTCAAGTGCGTGATGGCCACAGATAACTATGGGTTACTGTATTGGACAGTGCTGATACAGAACATCTCCATCATCACAGAAGGCTCCTTTGAACACTGATGATCTAGAGCATTGCTTGCCTCTTGGCAGGGTTAACATTCTGAAACAGGAAGACTTGGTTTGAGAAACAAAGTTTGAGTGCACGTGATTGTTCTAGAAAGAGGCCCCTAGCTTCCACTGGATTTCCAAAGGACTTTCAAACCCCAAAGGGCTAAAACATCTTAATCCACTGAGATATTATTCCAAAGATATTGTCCCACTTTCTGAGTCTTTTGTAGAAAAGCTTAAGAAAAGCAAGGGGGGAAACCCCAACTGCATGCATATCTCCTCTCTTCCCTTCAGTTTCCTCAGAAAAAAACTGCTGGGCCAGCCTGTGGCTCACTCGGGAGAGTGTGGTGCTGATAACACCAAGGCC